GGTGTCCCTTCCCCTCCCGGCTCCCTGGAACCTACCCCGCCGGGCCAGGGGACAACTCGAGTCCCCGCGCGGTAGTCCCAGCCCAGACCCGCGGCTCCCAGGCCGGGAGGCCCGATGTGGACCGGGGATGGGGCGTGGGGCCGGGCCGAGGCCGGGGGGAGGTGAGATTTTCCCCAGGCCCGGCCGGGGGCATGGCGGGAATAGGGGCGGGGTGTGACTAGCGGGGGCTGCCACTGCTCGGCGGGGTCTGGACACCGCCCTGGACGGTTCCTGGAGCCTGCTTTGGGTGGGAGGTGGGGGACATCAGGAAGGATCCAGCTCGTGTGTGTGTGTGTGTGTGTGTGTGTGTGTGTGTGTCTGTCTGTCTGTCTCTCTCCCTTCCAGCTCTCTCCCTCACACTCCCCAGCCTGGCTCAAGATTATCCTTTGGGCTGGGAGACCCGAGGGCGAGTCCTGGCCTCGCTCTGGTTTTAAAGTTGAGAAGGCGGTATGAGATTCCTTCCCGAGACATCGGGGTGGTCGGCAGGGAACGGCGTGCCCCTTAGGTCATCGGGACATCTAGAGGGTGATGGAGGAGATGGCCGATGCCTGTCTTGTCTCAGGGAGGGCACCAGGAGCTTCAGCTCCATTTCAGGCACTGTGGGGGGTTTGGTTGCCCCCACTCTTAGGGTCAGTGGGGCAGTTCTTTGGCAGCTGCTTCTCTCAGGTTGCTGTGGTCCATGCCATCTTGGCCTTGGGCCTAAGTGTCCTGGTTTGGGCCAGCTCCTCTTCTGGCCCAACCAGAGCTTGAAGTGAAAGGCTTCTAATTGAGCTGGGGGCTCCAGGTCACTTAATGCAGGCCTTTGCCCTTGAGTTCTGGCCTATGCCTCCCACCATCTGGTCCCACCTAATCTGCCTTGCTGGGGGAGGGCAGTGGCGTACTCATGCCTAAGCAACTGGTGATTGCCCTCCGTCAACACTGCCCATCCAGGTTGGGGCTACCCCATCCTGTTTTCACACAGCTGGACCAATGGAACTAGTAGGAGTGGGTGGGGGGAGTTGGTCACCTGGGTAGAATTTCCAGGGAACCCCCTTTTTGAAGGATGGTTTCTGTTTTTAGAGAGGATCTGCTGGCATGCTGAATACCTTCTTGCCTGTCTTTTAAGGTGTCAAGGAGAGCCCCTTTTGAGGTGGGGAGAGTGGCCATGTACTCTCAACTCCTGTAAATTCTCTCTGACTCACATCCACTTCTTCTCATCCCAGATCGTGTGTGCGTTTGTGTGTAGGGGAGGGAGGCCACTCAGGACCCCACTGTTGAAGAATACTAGACTGGGGCTGGAATATTCGCTTCCTAAGAGGCAGACCAAGACAGGGGTGTGAGGTGGCTGTGCTATGTGGGGAGTAAAGGAATTCGACCCAGTTTGACAGGATGTGGGACGGAGAGAAAAAGCCAGGTTTGGGGCAGAGATCAGGTTACCATCTCCTTCTTTCTTAACTTCTCCCTGCCTGGCTGGTGCTGGGACTGGCCCTCATTTGTCTCCTTTTTGGGGCTCCTCCCAGCAGCCTCAGGGCCCGCCTTCTCTTCCTTCAGACCCACGGCCTGGGAACTTCAGCGGACTGGAGGTCATCCACTCTCCCCAGGGAGGGAGGAAGTGAGGCTCAGCTCGGTAGGGAAGCTGTGAAGGTGTGATGAACTGTGCAGATGCTTACGTGAGTGTATGTGTGTGTGTGTGTGTGTGTTGGGGTGGGGGGACATGGAAACCCCAGGAAGCTGACTCCTTGCCCTGAGTCACTGGGAGGAGTGGACAGGGCCTTGGTGAGCTGGACAGAGAGGAGGAAGGGGCTGTTCCAGGGAGTGGGTGGCGGTGACTCCCTAGTGGATTATTCTCAGTCACTCTGCTGTGGTGGATGTGTGGCTCCCTACAGTGTGGTCATTGTCCCTTGCCTGAGGCTGAGTGACCCAGTGTTGCTGCCAGGCCCAGGAGGAAGGGGGGCGGAAGGCAGGCTGCCCGAATGTGGGCTGTGGGGACTGTGGGGACTGAGCCTCCTTTGTGTGACTCGGGGCTTTGGGAACCGGGATGGGGTGGGCCAGGGAAGCCGACTGGCTGCTGCCACTGCCCTCTGTCCGGGTTTCCCTCTCTCTATTCTTTCCCACCTCGGGGGTGAGATGTAGAAAAGGGTATGGACTCTAGATCTAGTCGCACAAGCCTCCTTTGAGTGCCGTCCCTGCCATGACTCCGCTGAATACTTGTCTCAGCCTCACTTTGCTAGTTTGTCAAAATGGGAAGCTCTTTCTTCCCATTTTCTTCCAGGCTTCTAGGGACCAGGGGAGATGATCTGTCAAAATGCCCAGCAGTTTTCCTTAGCCACCTATCACCTGTAGCTTGTTCCGCAGGCCCGTGGTCTTGGAGAGGGATTCCTCGTTTGTGACGGGGCGGGCATGACTTGCGCTGAGGGACAGTGTGTTCTAGACTGGACTTTAGCAATTATTAAACTTTAAAAGTATCAAAACCCTGGTAACGAATGAAGTCTGACTTGAAACCGTGCTATGGATAGCAGATAAAGGCTAGCTCTTCTGGACATGTTCCTGAGTGTCCTCGTGGGTGTCAGGGTCCCACAGTTGGCGAGTAGGTTAGATCAGAACTCATGTCTGACTCGAGTGAGTGGTTCTCCCATCCCCGCCCCCATTTCTGTATTCTGACCCATTGGAGGATACCTGTCCCTGACAGCGAGATAAGGAATTTCAAGCTCAGTTGCCTGAACAGTTGGTTCTTGGTAAGAACATGCCTGAGCAAGCCCCTCCCTCTGCTGGATGCCTCAGTTTCCAGGGAGGTCCTGGGGGTCCCGGAGAAGTGTTTTTGGGTTTATAGGCTTTTTTCAAAATCTGATCGCCTCTTCACTGCCAGCCCTAGCCATGGCCGCGATCCGAAAGAAGCTGGTGATCGTGGGGGATGGGGCCTGTGGGAAGACCTGCCTCCTCATCGTCTTCAGCAAGGACCAATTCCCAGAGGTCTACGTCCCTACTGTCTTCGAGAACTACATCGCAGACATAGAGGTGGACGGCAAGCAGGTGACAGCAGAGCCCCTTCCCATCCCACCTGGAACCCCGCCCCAACACTGCGAACCCAGGATTTCCTTCCTCACCACCCACACACGTCCTTGCTCCATTCTCCCTGCTGGAACCAGTAGAAGTCAGGAAATGAACTGCCGTCTTAGAAAATCTAGATATACTTGGTTCTCTGCATCTGGCTCTGAAACCCGGGCCCGGTCCTTTTGCCTCTGAGTTTAAGTTCCCCCAGCTACAAAACGGGGATAATGTAAGGCCTCCTTCAAAGGATTTCTGAGGATTACATAAAATAGTGGCACTCACCGGCAGAGGTCAAGCAGTAACATCTCAGGATGTTAAAGAACTCACCTAATTTATGTTGGATGAGTGCTTAGCCATTATTTCTGGCACACAGCAGGTGCTCAATTGATGTTGTGAGGACTAAAGGACTAGTGGCTTCAGAGAGGACCTCTAGGTGGCAGGATGGGGAGTATGTGACTGGGGCCCTCAGGCTAGCTACTCACCGGCCCTGTGTGTCAGGTGGAGCTGGCCCTGTGGGACACAGCCGGGCAGGAAGACTACGATCGCCTGCGGCCTCTCTCCTATCCGGACACTGACGTCATCCTCATGTGCTTCTCCATTGACAGCCCCGACAGCCTGGGTGAGGTGGGGGTGAGGATGTTGGAGGGAGAGGACTGAGAACCCCTTGGAATCAACCAACCCGAGGTAGCTCTTGCCTTGGCTCATTTCAGCCATCTTCAGAGGCTGAGGCTATGGAGAAGGGTGCATGGGGCATTAGCCTCCTTCACTGGGAACTCTGGCCCATAGGAGGGGTCAGGGGAAGGTGTACCGGGAAGGGGAGGGGTTTTGAGCTGTGGAAGGGACTGTCCCGCTGGATAGCCTCTACGGCTACTGTGGGGAGGCCAGGGGCCCCAGCTGAGCTTTCTTGCTAAATGGAGGCACCGACACCCATTGAGACGTATCTGTGCAGAAAACATTCCTGAGAAGTGGACCCCAGAGGTGAAGCACTTCTGTCCCAATGTGCCCATCATCCTCGTGGGGAATAAGAAGGACCTGAGGCAAGATGAGCATACCAGGAGAGAGCTGGCCAAGATGAAGCAGGTGGGTGGGGCTGCCAGGCTGGGAAAGAAGGAAGCCTTCTCTCCAGGGGACTGCCCTGTGTTAGAGGTGATCGAGGTGTTCACGTCCTACCCCCTCACGTCTGCACTCTGGTGGGGGAGAACCAGAAGGGCCCTTTTTGTCTGACTCGGTATCTGATGCAGCTGTTGGAGAATGAAGTGACTTACCTAAGGCCACTTGGCATTTTAACTTATTTGTCTTGTGTTAGGGTTGGGGCTATTAAATGCACAGGAAAATCCCTGCCCTCAAAGAGGCAGTTTCTTATTATAGATGTTTTGCTTGGGGTATGCACGTCATACTCTCAGAGTACCCCTGGGGAGGTGCGGGCTGACGTGGACGCAGGAGGGTGAGCATTATGCGGCTGGAAGAAAGGACCAGAGCGAGGGAGCTGGCCTATCTGGGGACCTAGTAAGTGGTTCCCTAGCCAGAGGATTAGTTTTTTAGAGAAAGCTGCCAGGATAAAGTACATGGACTACCCTGTGAGGGTAAGCTGGGGACAGTGAAATGTCAGATCTTCATGGCACAAAAATCATTGACAGCCATGAAAATGCAAAAATAGAAGCAGGGAGGTCAGTTAAGGGGTGCCGGATCCTCATTCAGGCAAGAGCAGGGTGTACTGTGGGGTAGAGCTGATGGAGAGAATTTGAATGTAAACCTGAGTCTTGGGTCACTGGCCCCCAAGCTGCTCAGCGTGGCTAGAGCTTGGGCGCTTTGTGGGGTTGGGGCTGGAGATGTTGATTCCAGTCACCATACTTATGGGTGTGATAGTGACAGATGCACCTCGCCTCCAGCTTCCTTTGACCTCTCATGTCTTCCCAGGAGCCCGTTCGATCTGAGGAAGGCCGGGACATGGCGAATCGCATCAGTGCCTTTGGCTACCTCGAGTGCTCAGCCAAGACCAAGGACGGGGTGCGGGAGGTATTTGAGATGGCCACTCGGGCCGGCCTCCAGGTCCGCAAGAATAAGCGCCGGAGGGGCTGCCCCATTCTTTGAGACCCAGGGCTCCCCTCCTTCCCCATCTCCCCTCCCTTCATGGGGTGTAGGACCCCCCCCAGCCCCACCCTCTTAGGACTCCATTCTCAGCTCCCTCCAGCCCAGGACTGCAGTGAGTTTCGCAAACCCCCACCCCTCCCTCCTTTCCTCCTTCCCAGCACTCTGGGCACCTAGGGCTATGCCCTGCCCTCCTGGAACAGAGTTCAGAGTTCTGCTGCTGTCTGGGTCCAGGGGCTCATCACACACCAGCACTTTAAACACTTCTGGCTCACAGGAGCGTGTCTTGGGTAGGGGACTTGGAGGGTGTAACCCAGAGTTCCAGGCCCCTGGTGTTTCTGCTTTGGGCAGGGGGCTTGTCTCTGGCTATACTCCGTGGGGGGCATGAATAAAGGCCACAGGCTTCAACATGTGTGTAGCAGCTTCCTGTCTTTCCAGGTCCCTGTCTTGGCTGTGAGCCTAGAGTCCCATTTCTCCTCATTTCCAAGTTGCTGGCCAGATTGCCGCCGCCACCCCCCCCCCGCCCCCGCCCCTTTGTAAGGCAGGACACTGGGCAAGCAGGGTGGAGTCTTGGAGTGAAGGATGAGGTCATGCCTGGCTCAGGGCCTTGGAGGCGGGTGAGGGGAGTGGTCTGGAGCAAGGACTAAACTTAGAAGCCTGTGGGTGGCTTCCCTGCCACCTCCCACTGGCTTTCCTTCCCTGGATGCGGGGCTGGGGTTTCTCTAAGGGGAAAGGGATATGGCCCTGGGCAGGGTCCTACTTGAAAGCTCCTGAAGCTGGGGCTGTGCAGAGAAGAGGCTTTGGAATCGCACAAGGTTTTGTCTTCATTGTTTTTCTTTCTTTCCAGCAGGGGAGGGGATGTAAACTCCCAGCCTTCCTGTCCCTGGGAGGGGCAGCTCGGCTGGGTTCTGGGTCAGGGCGGGTGGCCGGGTGGCCGGGCACGGAAGGCTTGACTGGCGCGCGAGGCCAGCCGCCATCTCTTCAGAGCTCGTTCCTCCACTCTGGCTCCACTTGCAGGTGCAGGCCGCCTTCGCGCCCTCGCTCCTGGGGGAGGTAGTCGCGACTTCGGGGCCCTAGAAAGAAAGGAGGGGAGCTGTCTTCCTTACCACCCCGCCCAGCACTGTCCCTGACCTGGCCCACCCTGGCCCAGCCATACCTGAGGTAGAGGAGCTGAGCTTACTCAGACCTTGGAGTAAGTTCTGTCCTTGCTGCAGGTCCAGTTTGGCAGGGAAGGGGCACCCAGTATACCCCCCATTTTCTTTACAGAAATCCAGGAATCTGTGGGAGACAAGCACATTCACACACACACACACACACACATACACACAGCTGTGCAGGGCTGCTGAGGGAGCGCAGGCAGAGGCCGGGGGCTAAGCCTCAGTCCTGCCACATGGCCCCGTGTCTTTGGGTGAGTCGCTTAACCTCAGCGTGTCAAGTAACTTAAATGGGACTGTGAAGATGGACAGGTCTGAGGATGAACTGAGCCACAAGGAGGTGCTCAAGATCCTCCCGCCCTAGGCTGGGGACTGTGGCCCCAGGAACAGCATCACAGGGTGGGAATGCTCACGTCTTCCAGTCGGGGTCATGGCCCAGGAGGAGCGGGTTGCCCACCACGATGAGCAAAGCCTTGGCCCGAGTCACAGCCACGTTGAACCTCTGCGAGAAGAAGTGGTGACATCATGGGAGGGGAAGGCCCTAAGGAAGGGAGAATTCCTGCCACCTGCCAGCCCTCCAACCTTGGGGTTCTTCAGGAAACCCAGGTTAAAGTCCAGATCCAGCTGTACAAAGCTCTGACTGCTGCGCACGGTGGAGATGAGGATGACGCTGCGTTCCTGGCCTTGGAACTCCTCCACGGAGCCCACCTAGAGGGCAGAGAGGCAGGGCCTGGGACCGGGGGCTGAGAGCGGAGCCAGAGGGACAAGCCCTGCCTCAGGGAGACTGCCATCCAAGGTGGGTGTGGGGAAGTCCCTGGGCAACTGTCACAGAGGAGTGAGACATTGGCAGGGGCAGGAAAGAGGACAGGAGGGTGCCCTGGAAGCTGAAACCTGAAGGCTGGATCCAGGGGAAGGGGTGGGGGCTGGAGCGTGTTCTAAGCGAAGAAAACACAGTAAGTAACTCAAGATGAACATTAAGTCCTTGTTAAAAATATACAACCCAGACCTCCTGAATCAGAATTTCCAAGGGAGAGCACTGGTTTTCAAACCTGGGTGCCTACGAGGTCACCTGAGGAGTTGGAAAACATATGCATGCCCTGGCTCTGCCCCCAGATAGCTGTCTTAATTGGCTGGGTGGGGACCTGGCTCTGGCAGCACTAAAAGCTCTCCAGGTGATTCTTATCTGCAGCCAGTGTTGAAAGTCAGACTTTAGAGAGAGCCGAGCTACTGACTGACCCAGAGGGTGGGAGCCTCCCCCCCACCCCCACTATCAAATGACAGGTCAGGCAGGCCAGAGTTTGGACTTTATCCTTAGGGCAGAGGGCCTCTAAGTAGCCTGATCTTAAGAATGGTGTGGGGTATTTGCTAAACACGCAGGCTTCCCTGTCCCAGCTAAGAACCACAAGCTGGGATCTCCAGGAGTGAGAGGTCTGGGGAGAATCAAGCCAGGGTGGAGTGGGGGCACGGGCTGGCCTGGAGCATCAGGGCGGGAGCCTGAGGAAGCCTCCGGGAGTGGGGAAGTGAGGGGCACAGAAGGCAGGGAGCGAATGTGAAAATGGTCAGCGTCACCTTCAAGTCCTTGATGTCATTCAGTCCCCGAAGCTCCTTGTCAAGTTTGGTGATGCAATATCGAATTTTTTCCACCTGGAAGATGGGGACAGGTGCCTTTTGCTCATGCTGTGACTCCAGTGCAAGAGGGAGTCAGGCAGGAGACCAGGGAGCGGGGACGCAAAAAGGGAGGGGCAGCTGACCTCTGAGCTTGAGATAATGGGGCCGGCAGAGGCCTGAGTTCTGGGAACCTCCAACTAGTGATCTGGCTATGAATAAGGTACCATCTGAGCGTCCCACCCTTGATGGGAACTGAGGACCTAACCTGCTTCCGGTAAGGGGAGATGACGCCCACGTTTCGGGGGCTCAGGCGGGCTCTGCCCTTCTTAGAGGAGGAAGTCAGGAGCAGCTTCAGGTAGGAAGTCACCGTGGCAGCCTCTTCGGGGTTGAAGAAGGATGGGCTATTGCCCTCACGCTCGTCCTTGCCCATTACGCCATGAAAGATGATGGGAAAGCCCTGGACAGTGGGGAGAGAAACCCTCAGCTGGACCTCCCTGCCCACTTCCCTCTCACCCCCAAACCCTTTCAGGCAGTGTGAGGTGCCAGGCCAAGATGACAAAGGGACAGGCCCATGATTTCCACTCAGGGCCGCCTCCTGCCCTGCATCTTCAACAGGAGGGAAGATGGGGTTCAGGGGTAGGAGCCTTTCACCTTTCGAGGCAGATCCTCCCAGTGGCAGAAGCGCTCTCGGTCAAGGACATCGGCACAGGCCTGCAGCTCCCCTTCGTAATAGAGCCGGTTAGGAATGTCCAGGATGTTGGGGTGAGACCTGGGGGGCAGGAGGAGGAGGAAGAGCAAGACCAGGGGCTGGGTTACTTCTGCCTTGCCCCCTGGGACCCCGCCTTACTGGCTCTGGGCCCACACACATTATCTTCCTGCTTCTGCTCACTGGATGGCAGGCTCATTCACCTACGATGTCTGCTCCTAGGACTGACTGTAAGCCCAAGAAAACAGAACCCCATATGGTTCCAGAGAGGATCTGGTCCAAAGGTTTCATAGACCAGCCAAATTTAAAAGAAGAAAACAAGAAATTAGGGACTTGTTCTTAAGTTTCAGTTTTGCTAACAAAGGACGGTATAAAAACAAGTACCATCCACTATCACCATTATTCGGTAAGATAATGTGCTAAATCCAAAAACACAAAAAGTACTAACACGATAGCCATGTTACTGAATTCTTACTGGACTCAACTAAAGAACTAAGGACTTAGGAACTCATCTGAGCTTTTCAGATGTATAAACTCATTGACTGAAGGAAGGGTAGCTCTTGAATTTGAGTAACAGCTTAAAAGGGAAAAAAAAACACACACACACACTGTCCCTATTTTTCTCATTTCTCTTTGGATTGCCTGGAAACTTCATCTGGGACCCATGTCAGGCACGTCCCAGTGCCTGGGAACCACGGACCATCCCTCAATATACAGATAAGCAAACTGCTCTAGAGCAAAGCCGCTTGCTAAGTCACACAACCACGGGGTAACAGTGATGGGGCCCGAGAGGAGCCTTTGGATCTTCCGGTTTATAGTCCTGCATCACAGAGCCTCTGAGCAATAGGACTGAGCAACCTCCAGCTGGAGCTACCGAGGGTGTGAAGGTGGGACAGGTGCGGAATACCTGTAGTTGCGCAGAAGCTTGGTTATGTACTGGGGGTTATAGCCATTGGGGCCCTTCTTGTACAAGGTGTTGTAGGTGAGCAGCCGCTCCAGCATCGAGTACCCCAGCCCATGCTTCTGGGCCAGTGGGGAACGCAGAACGGGCCCCAGCTGCCGAGGGTCTCCGGCTAGCACCAGCTGTCCTCCTGGATTGTCCGTTTCCTTGACTTCCAACAGCCCTGGGAAGCAACATAGCATGAGGAGGAAGGTAAGTGGTGGGATCTCCCAGACCCCATGTTCATGTAGGGTGGGTGCACCCGCAACCTACCCTGAGTCCCTCACCTGCTATGGCCACCAGACTCTCGGGCTCCATGCAGTGACCAGCCTCATCGATGAAGATGTGTGTGAAGTGATCAATGGGAAACTGGGCCGAGACCAACCTGGGAGGTGTCAGGCCAGGCAGCGGTCATACCCAGGAACCTGACTAGCAAACCTGAATGCTCATCCAAGCTGGCCCCTCCCTGGCCTTCAGCCCCTTTACTTACACACATGATTAAGAGACACACATTCCCACCTGCTGGCAGTGATGAGGGTAGTAATTAAGACGCGATACTCCTGCAGCTTCTTCTTGGCAGGAAACACGTACTCCCCCTTATTTGGGTCCCAGTTACAGCAGGGCTGTGGAGCGCGAAGGGAGAAGAGAATCAGCGTGGCCCCACCCGCTCTCACCCTCATTCTGGCTCTGGGCCCCCAGGAAATTTTATTCACTTCTCTCACTTTACACACAGGGAAAGCGAAGGCCAGAGAGGGGTCCTGACCCACGCAAGGTCACACACAGAGTATCAGAATCCGGGTCTCCCGGTTTGCTGCCCCAGAGTCTACTCTGAGAGCCTCCCCAGCACCCACCGTCCGCTGGCCTCCTGAACTTCCTCGGGTACCTTGATGTCCTCAGGCACCATCCGTATGTCCCTGCTGGGGGCCAGGAGGCGGTAGATGCAGCGGGGCAGGTGGACCTGGAGCCGCTGGCAGAGGAGGTCGGCCCCCGAGTTGGATGGAGCACAGGCCAGGATGTGGGCTTTGGGCAAGTGCTTCACCACCTGGGGGCGGGTAGGGGGGAATAAGCAGTGTGGGAAGCAGCTTCCTGGTTTGGGGGGAGAGGGGGAGATTCGGTTATCACTTAGGTTTCGGTCTGACTCAGGTTGGGCTTGTGACTCAGGCTGGCACGGTGTGGCATCTGCCTCCCGAAACTGAGGGGGGTAGTGATGCTAAAGGCGAGTTCCGACCCCCAGCCCCGGCCAGTCCAAACAGCACTTTGATGCCGGAAAACTCGCAGGAAGTAAAGAAGTCTATGATGACTGAACCGTGGATGGGGACTCCAAGAGTTGCACAGCACGCAACCTGCTCAACAGAAACACTGACCCGTGATGTCAGCATAGGGGCATTAGAAGCTGGAAGAGACCAGAATCTGGGGACAACTGCTTGGACCTGGGGAAGCTGGAGTGTAGGCCCCAGGTCTAGGCTCATGCCCCACCTGCTTGATGGCTTCCACTAAGGTGACAGTCTTGCCAGTGCCTGGTGGTCCAAAAATGATGTAGGGGGCTGGACGGGTGGTACCCGTAACAATGTGCTTCATGGCCTGTAGCTGCTCAGGGTTTGACTCCAGATTCCGGTCGTAGAGCCTGGCAGAGGGGCCGGGAACGTAAAGTCATCCACTGTCCCAGAGGCCTCCCTATTCTCTAGGCCCACGATCTAAGTAGGCCAGAGCCCTCCTGCCCATGGTCTTACTTGAGCTTCAGATCTGAGGACAGCAGCGGGACCTC